ACTTGCAAACAAATGCGTAAAATTTCCAACAAGTTTGAGAATTGGTCATATTTTTAGACTCACGCAATTGTTTCTTGATAGAAAAGCTTCTACAGTTTAACAGCACTTGTATGGCTTGTCATCAGCTATGTTGAGCAAAATCCATTAACTCCATTTATCGTCAGACTTTTATAACAGCCAAGATTCAGATTAGGATTCTTGCAGTTTAATCAATCGTTCTTGATCAAAGAAAATTTACAGAAAAATTTCTTCTTTAATTTAGTATCCTTTTAAGTCGTAAAAGAAAGAAGAATGAGTTCCTAAACATAAGCAAATATTTGGTCATTTTCAGTGAAAATCGGTACTAATAGTCAACCACTTTTATTGACACTGTTCTTCAAAAACGCAATGGAGAAAGTTAATCAAAAAAAAAGAGAAAAAAACAGTAACAACGCCTTTGTCATCAACACATCATTTCTTCAAAGAAATACTAAAATATTTTAGATATATTTCAGATGCCATATTTTTGGCAAAACCATTTGCCTATAACACACTGTCGTACATCAGAATAATTCAAAAACCCGCACAGTACCAACTATAAAACGAAAGAATGCGTTCCCTTTAACAAATCCTTTACAAATTGAGCTTTTATCAACCTAAGGCAAAAAAACTCTTTTCTTCACATATAAGAGAACAGTAACGAACAGGTACAACACTATGTACAACAATCAGTTTCATCAGGAATTCTGTGTCTAAATAAATAACCAACAAAAAATTTTTCGTGCTCTTCTTTTCAGGCAAGGTAATTCTGCCGGAAAACAAGGTGCTTTATTATACAGTTACAGATGTCAAAATAATTCAACAACAACGTCAGCAAAATGCATAGAACAATAAATAACAATAAATGCACTCAAATTTCTCTAAAAAATAGTAAAAAAAGAAGAAAAACAAGGAAGAAACTTGAAAAAAAAACAAATTGATTAAGCGTTCCAACTTTATTTTTGCCAATTTATAAAATTGTATTTGAAGGAATTAATCTACTTTTAAGGTCATTCAAAACTGCATGTTGGATACCGTAATGTTAAAAGAGATACTTATCCTGAGATACACGTACACTGTTAGTCAACAACAACGATCACCAAAACTTCAACAGGTTAAACCAGTTTCCTCGTTTGGCAGACCTAGTTATTTTAACAGGTTTTGTTCCATTTACATCCAATATACCTGTCAGATCATCATCGTTGAAAAGCATCGTTTCAGTGTTTAACAAGTTAACAGCTGCCATATGTTTTCGATTCATCTTTCCTTTTTTTGTTGTATTTGAAACAGGCAGAACCGGGTCGCTAACAGTAGCATCATGAAATAGTAAATTGTATCCCTATAACAATTAATACTTATAAATCAACAGAAATTCCAGCATAGTCTTTAAACCACAAATTTTTTTAAAACAAAAAACAGCAAAGAAATAAACATAATAACTTACTTTATTGCAGCAGATGTTTGAACATTCACTGATAGAGTTGAAATTGTTAAGATTACCACCGCAACCAGTAAATTTAAATTGTACGCAAGTGTCAGAGACGGGATTGTAACCATATTTATTGGGAATAGAATCTGATGGTTGGCAGTTGCCTGGGTTTCTTGGTTGAAGGCAGAAGTTACCTACAAATTTCTCACAAATACCAAAGTTCATATTAATAAGAAAGTATTTTATTTTAATTGGAAAACAACAACAACAAATAAGTAGTTCACATCCACCAATGTAATCCTGCTGATTCCTACTCCTCCTAGTAGTAGCTAAAAAAACTTTATTATAAGATTTCTCCAGTCGACAAATTTTGTGTCAAATAATCACTTACGAGGATCTGGACAACAGAAAGCATCGCCGTTTGCCATTGCATTACATACATAGTCATTGTGCGGACAGGCATTAGCCTGTTTGATAGAACAGCTGACTGGAACACCGCTGACGGTCATCAAAGGTTCACCTTGAGGACAAAGACGTGGTTTCACAGGTGCGTGTGCCTTTAAAAACACTTCTTTCTTCAATTAATTACAAAATATTACTTGAAAAACTGGAAAAGTTAGGCAGTTAGTTAGAAACGCTAACCTTATGTCTCGCCTTTAGTTTTGGTGATGGACAGTCTGAACCTTGACAGGGAGGTGATCCAAGAGCTAAAAAAGTACCTGCTGTAAGACACTCTTAACACATATTTCTATTAAGCCTGCTAATAGTTAGCTAAATACTAGCCTGAAGTTGAAAGTTTTGGTATCTTCAAAGGTAAGCATTCATTAGCACAGTCCTGGAGAGTTACAAAATTATTCTGGTTACCACCGAGACCAGAGTAAACGAATGGGACGCATAGTTGTAACGCTGCGTTATAATAAAATCTGTTGAGTTGCGCCTGTCCAGTACCGATAATTACAGGTAACATACAAGGAGAGGCTTGCACTAAAAAACTATTCCCATAATTATCCACAAAACTATAAATTCGTACTTTATACAAAGAAATCCGTAGCTTATGACCTATCAGTTGCAACACACCTGGCGTGGGACAGCAGACAGTGGACGAAACATCAGCTCCGATGTGACAGAAATAGTTTGGAGGACAAGGAGTAGTTGATGAACAATAAAATGACCCCCCGCCAACCAGTTGCAGAGGCTCGCCCATCTGACACGGATTGTTGTATTCTAAAAAAATTTTTTCAAACGCAAATAAATATTAAAAAATTTTTATTCCCGACATTATTATTCAGAAGCATTGTTCTTCTCTTATAGATCAAACCCACTGCTAAAAATTCTAACAATTTACCTGGACATGACCGCCTACATGATTCAATATTGATAAAATTATTAGCGTTTCCTCCCTGTCCTGAATATGAAAACTGTTGGCATTTTTTAGAAAGTTGGTTAAAGTAGTAACGCGGTAATGCCGAAGCTCCGCGCCCGACATCCAGAGGCAGTTGACAAGGATTAACAGCTAAAATGACAAAGTTTGAAGTTTGAAGTGAACATAATGAATACGCAATATCAATGTTGCCCACGTTACAGAAGCAAGTACTTATGAGTTGAAGTTCCCTTTTTTCTAAACTTACATCCTGGACAGCAGACAGTGCTCTCCTGCGTACTTCCGACGTGACAGAAATAGCCTTGTGGGCATATATTTGGGTTTTGTGGAGAACAATAAGTGATGGCTCCTCCGATTGTGGTTAAAGGCGAACCGTTGGCGCAAGGATTAGAAAATTCTAAGGTATATTTGCTTAACCATAGAAACCAAAGAATAATGACAAGGAAACTCAATATATTAACGCAAACCAGACAACAGTCAAAAAGTATAGTAACAAACCTGGGCACGTTCGAGCACAGTGACTTTGTGACATAAAGTTGTTGCTGTTACCGCCTACTCCAGTGTATGTAAACTGTTGACATCTTTTGGTCCTTGAGTTAAAATACCATCTTGACAAGCTGGCAGATCCTGACCCAATTGCGAGTGGAGATGAGCATGGATCCTGAACAGGCTAAGTACCATCAAAACACTTCAAAGAAAGCAGGATATTGATGTGGAACAGAATTAAAGCTACCATAATAAATAGAAAAAATTTTAAATATTAATTTACAGTAAACCCAGGGCAGCAGACAGTTGTTTGTGCATTTTCGCCAACATGACAATAATAATTTTTCGGACAATCAGCAGCAGAATCAGAATCGCAGAAACGGATCAATCCTGTTTCTAGTTCACGATAAGGATCACCAGTATAACAAGGATTAGCAAATTCTGAAAGTCAGTCATCCAGTTGCAATACAATAACACCAAAATTTGTTTTAAAATCATTATAGTAACTTTTTTAAAATTCAGTACCATTTAAATTAAATAGCGATAAGGTGATGGAAAAGAATGAATACCGGGACATTTAGATGCACAGTCCTCTTTGGTAAGGAAATTATTTTCATTGCCTGCCATGCCGGTATACTGAAACGGCTTACAGGTTCGCGAGTCTAAATCATAATACCATCTGGTAAACGGCCCCATTCCACTTGGAATTCCCTGTGCCATCGGCAAACGGCATGGATCGGAAGCTACAGAAGAGATCTTATATTATGTCCTTTTAGTAAGAAAAAAAAATGTAAGAAGTTTACCGCCTGGACAACAAACAGATGTTTCACTAGTGCCTCCAATGTGACACCAGTGCCCTGCTGGACATGAATAAGGATTCTGTGCACTGCACTTTGTAACAGTTAATAAATTGCTGATAAGGATGTTAGGACAAGGATTGCGAAACACTGTAATATACGACTTCCATAGCTAAGGAAATTGATAAAAAGAAAAAATCTCAACTACACAGGATAGAAGTTCTTTTGTTGAAACCTTTTTATGCTCTCCTAACTAACAGATCTCCAACAGTAACGATTTTAAATATTCATGATTGAAAAACTGATAACTAACCTGGGCATTTTGCTGCACAACTTGTTTCACTGTTAAAGTTATTTTCATTACCACCAATACCAGTATAAGTAAACTGCAGACACTGTCTTGTGTTCTGATTAAAATACCACCTAAAAAACAGAATATCACACATTTTTGGTTTAAAAATTGTTACAAAGTAGTTTGATAACAAAACTTGAATAAACCTAGGTAATTTAGCCGTCCCAGTACCCGGTGACATTGCCGCCAGACATGGATCTCCTAGAGAAGGACAGCAAACTGTGTTATCTGCGGAGGAGCCAATATGGCACCAGTAAGAAGATGGACAAGTCTGACGCTCCAAGCTACAGAATAAAATACCACCAGAGGGCGCTTGAGCGGGATCGCCAGTCGCACATGGATTCCTAAAAATATAGTAGAAGCTATTTCTTTACAACTAAAATTTTTTTATAACTTTTAGAAGTACATTACTTAATCAACTGTTTAGGACAACTTAAAGTTCCTAATGTTTATAAAACCTATATTTCGATTTAAGATCACTTACTGGAACTCCGGACATCTTAACTGGCACTCTTGTAATGTCAGGAAATTATTTTGATTACCAGCGTAACCAGTATACGTGAACCGCATACACCTCCGCAGATTCACATCAAAGTACCACCTGCCCAAAACAGCAGAACCCGAGCCTTTTGAAGGCGGCAAAGCGCACGGATTTTCAGCTGACAAAAAACTATTACATTTTAGAAACAAGCTACTAATAAAACCCTTTTAATAAACACCATCGCTTACCTCCAGGACAACATAGGGAAGCTGTAACATCTTCACCGATATGACACCAATAACCGGAAGGACATACATTTGGAGCTGTCGATGAGCACATAATGTATTGACCGTTTGCACCTGTTGCTGGATCACCACCAGCGCAGGGATTAGAAAGCACTAAAATTAATAACAAACTGTTATTTATTTAGACACTAGTGAAACGTATTCAATAAACTATAAAAGTAATCCTCAATAAAAAAAATTTAGATAAAGGAGAATGGATCATCTAGCAGCGGAGAATAACCAAATGTATTTAATAATAACCTGGACATGTAGTTTCGCAAGCGGCTTTAGAAAGAAAATTGTTTTGATTTCCACCAATACCAGTGTAGACAAATGGTAAGCATTGACGAGTTAAAGCGTTATAAGCAAAACGGCTTAGAGAAGCTGTACCAGTACCAGGTACTCTAGGCTCTCTGCAGTAGTCATCACTCCTTCCTGGACAGCATACCGTTGTTTGTTCAGAATCACCAATATGACAAAAATAGTTATCTGCACATACTCTAAAAGTAAGCAGTGTTTTCTTTCACTGTAATATTGAGGGCAACAATGCAGAAAAAGAAAGAACTTACGTTTCATCGGCAGCACTGCAAGGAACTGGATTATGAGCTTCATCAAGCTGAGGTTGCCCAAAGGCACATGGGTTCACAAAAACTATAATGTTTAAACTAATTAGAAGAGTATTATTTAAAAAAAGTAAAGCTCAAAACCCCAAATCAAAATATATTTTCCAATCCGTTTCTTGTTTTTGTATACAGTAAAAATTTTTTGATACCGGGACAACGTGATTCACAAGCCTCCAATGTCAAAAAGTTGTTTTCGTTGCCGCCTAAACCAGAATACTGGAACTGTTGACAAGTTCGAGTTAATTGATTGTAATAGAAACGTAACAGCTGAGCTGATCCCGTTCCTAACTGTAACTCTTGGTCACAAGGATCAGTGGCACCTGGGCAACAGACCTGAAGCGACTTGCTTTTTGTAACAATTTTAGTCTACCGAATTTCAACAACAATGACGAACTACAAGAACGAGTTTAATTAATAAATAGATCTTGATATTATCAGTGCTTGAATATTTAATTTACCGAGGTATCAAGAGTAGCTCCAACGTGGCACCAGTAAGTCGTTGGACAGATCGATGGTCCAGTGGCTCCACAGTGAGTTATCTGTCCGCTTAATCCTATATGTGGTTGCCCTTCAGGGCATGGACTTCTGAACAGTAATACTCGTATTGACAGTAATAAGTGTTTAAAAAACTTTAAAAAATTTAAAAAAAGTAAAAGAACCTGTATTCTGGGCATGCTGTCAAACAGTCCTGTCTGCTAATGAAATTGTTTTGGTTTCCATTTCGTCCTGTGTACACAAAACTTACGCACACTTGGGATTCTTGATTAAAGTACCACCTGTTTAACACGGAATTACCATTACCACGAGCCATTGGCATGTAACAGGGATTTCCAGCTAAAAACAAAGAAATTAAGTTTCTTTATTGACCAGTCAAGATCCTGAGGTAAAATGTAGCACAAATTTTATAAAACAGGTTATAACATTTACATTTTCAGACTTGGAGCTTGATTTACAAAAATTTACACACTAATTTGTTTGAGCACCAAGTCAGAACAACGAAAAACTCTCTAAAAACCGGTCCTAAGCTCAGTGGAAGTCCAAAAGCTCAAATATAAAACAAGCTCGTTCACGATGAAACATAAACCGATGCTTAGATTCCGCCAAGCAAGACTTTCAATAGAAACAAATAAAGACTAAAAAGACTTGCACTTTTTTTATATGTCGCTTTTTAGTTTTATTCAGAATTTCATTCATTTGTCTAACTGGTTCAGCAGTTAGCCAAATTAAAAACGCAGTAAACTCTTTCCAGGAAGAAATTCACAAACCTCCTGGACAACAAAGTGTTGTTGCTGCAGTTGCACCAATGTGGCAGAAATATCCAGAAGGGCACACATTTGGAGCTGCTGTAGAACAAAGAACAGGACTGCCGTCTGAATCAATTGCCGGAAAGCCACCTGCACACGGATTGTCCAAAACTGGACAAGCATCCTCGCATTCCCATTTAGTCACAAAATTGTTCTACAACAAACATAAAGTTAAAAATTTTTATCACCGTTGCCAGCTTCTTATAGCTGCCTTGGCGGAATACAACTGTATAAAAAGCGTATAAAAAAATGTGTGTAAAAAACTGACTTGATTGCCACCCTTTCCAGAGTAAACAAATTGTTCACAAGCCCGAGTTTTGGCATTATAATAGAACCTTGGTAACTGTGAATAACCATTTCCAGATTTCACTGGTAAAGTACACTTAGTAGCGGAATGAATGTGCGAGTGTAATCCAGGACTCATTGACGGTCGTCTTGACTTTGTACTGCCACCGACTCGCTCTGAATGACCTACCGAGCCTGAAAAATTGCCTTTTCACAAATTACAGATACATTCCGTTCGCCATTTAAAACTATTTTAGCTTCACTTACTGACTTGTTATTGACTTTTTTAGAATGAAGTCATACCTTCCGGACAACACACTGATGTTTGTCGTGTGTCACCGACATGACACCAATAACCGGGAGGACAATTTGGGTTGACTGCCGAGCAGAATGAAACACTTCCATCTAGTTGATTGACAAGCGGAGTACCGCTAGAGCATGGATTATCATATTCTACAAAATTCGAGTAAAAACCATAATAAACCATTGCAAACACTGCAGTAAAGTCCTATTAATCATTTGTAGAAATGTTAATAAACTTTTGACACTTTTTCAATTGTAATACAATCGTTATTAAATACGTTTCTCCTTCAGATACTAAAGGTTAGAACATTGAAGTGAAAAGAAAAAAATTAAATTTCCAAAAAATGCTTCCGTTAAAAGCGAAATTTTTTGTGAGATAATACTAACCAGTTAAATTTGAAATTGAAAAAACAACCTGGACATGCAAGTCGACAATCTGTAATAGACATAAAGTTATTCTCGTTACCACCAATACCAGTATACGTGAAAGCTTTACAGGTACTTGTACTAGGATCAAAATAATACCGATGAAGTACTGCAGATCCTCTGCCAGTCGCTAACGGTAGCACACACCGATTCAAGCCTTTAACTTTACAGTTACTTGTTTACCAGGAATTGTGACAAACAACTACTTCATTTAAACTATTTAAAAATTTATTTTAATCAATATTTAACTTTAGCGTTCTAAAACTTAAAGAGAGAAATGTTCTTTCCATTTTTTTCCTGCAAACTGTTGAGTCGTTTTTCTAATATTTCAACAGAAAAAATTAACTGTTGATATCACGTTCAACAGCTTTTTCTTTCTTTATCGATGACTGTTTGTAAGAAAATAAATATGACAGATAATTAAATAACCGCTTAGTGGGCAACAAACAGTTGTCTCGTCGGTACTTCCGATATGGCAATAATGAGTGCTCGGGCATATTGATTGTCCAAACGACGTACACCTCACAAACGAATTCCCATTAGTTAATGCTAAGCCACTACCACAAGGGTTTTCGCTAGCTATAAAAACAAGCAAACTGAGCCTACAACATCTGCTAAACTTTAGTAATATAAAGCAAAAAAAAAGTTTTGATAAGACATCATTTAATATTACGCATTAAACTACAATATATTAACATACCAACACATGTTTGCATACAATCGCTCTTTGTGAGAAAGTTATTCTGATTCCCGTTCCTTCCAGAATATACAAAAGTTTCACATGTCTGTTTGCTCGGGTTGTAAGCCCATCTGTGAAGTGCCTGATCACCATTACCATACTCAATTTTCATAAAACAAGGAGACCCTACAACTAGATAAACCACTTTTTATTGCTGTAGGTACAATTGTGATTTTAAACAGTTCAAATACACTTGAACCAATAGCAGCAAAATAAATAACAGTAAATACTAAAAACTTCAAGCGAGATACCGTGAGAATCTCGGTCACCATACGTATTAACCAAATTTGCTGGTATTTTCCTAACAGGTAACGAATTTCCTGCCATAGAATTTGTCGGTTGATTGCTGGGAAACATACTGTTCCCTTCCACTGGACAACATAGAGAGTCCCCACTGTTGTCTGTTATTTGACAAAAATAACCAGAAGGGCAAGAAGATGGATTGTTTGGTGTGCACCTCAAAAAATGTCCAGAAAATTTCAGCAACCTCTTTCAAGAGACTCATGTAACATTTCTTAAGTATAGCTCCAATAACTTTGAAAATTCTTCTCTAGTCCCTCGCTTCTGACATTTAGACTAATTTCAAAACCTCAGCAGGCAGCTTTGCTATCGCCCCCTTACCAAATGCCTGACAATTAAACACTGTAAGGTGACAGCTAAGTTATTAATAATATCAACCAACTTTTGATGAACATTAATCTGCATCAGCGGGTCACCGCGCTGACACGGGTTCACAGCTCCGCATGCTTGCTGACAAAGTCGAAATGTCACAAAATTGTTTTGATTACCCTAAAATTATAAAACTCAAAATCATATATTCTTAGCTTAATTCCACACTGACTTGTCGTTACTAAATATTAACCAAAAACATACTCGAAAGCCATTAAAAACAAAAGTTTTGCACTGACGAGATGCTGCATCGTAATACCAACGGCCCAGAGATCCAGTGCCGAAACCAGGCTCTTGTGGTTGGATACAGGGGTTGTCGCCTAAAATTTGTTTCTATAAAAAAACCACTAAAAACTCTAAAGTAGTTTAAAACCGATTAAGCAAATATCAGTGATAAATAGGTAAAGAAAATTTAATTGATAACAATAAAACTCCTTCTCTTCAATTTAAAAATTTTACTTTTGGTTAACCGGTACCTATTTTTATTCACTGTTTATTTTTGAAAATTTAAGACTACAGAATTAAAATTTAATTCCAATAGTTTTTTTCCTTCGTTTAAAAAAAAAATGTCAAGTTGCTCAAAGCACTCTCAAAAGCACAGCACCTAAGTTTGGACAGCAAACGCTTTGCTGTGGTCCAATCTGGCAGAACATTCCTGGAGCGCATACCGGATTTTCCGTGAAAGCACAGTCTTTAACGTAACTGCCAGCAGAAAGCGGTTGTAAACAGGGACTTAGATGTAACGTTGATCCAACTTCGCTGTTACTTAAACCACTCGTGGTTGCGTATGGCGGAATCACCTGCACACCCTTATTTCCCGTGGGAGATGGAAAAGAAATCTGAAACTTCAAGTTGTTTGAGATTTTCCCATAAGTATTACAATCAGCTGGAGTGTGCAGTACAGTTTGCTTATTTTACTTTAGAAACTTACACTGCTGACGATGCCATTGCTGCTAGCGCTGCTTGAAGTTGTTGGAGGAAAAAGTTGACTATTTGAGGAGCCATATTGTGAAGCAACATTTTCCATTGGAGAATATATACTTTTTGCTGCTAAACTCTTAACTTTAGTAGATCAGTATTTGATTCTGACAAAACTGAGAAAACAGGATTTTTGAAGAAAAATTAAAGATTCTAGAGAAGGTGAATGTGAATGATTAGCTAAAAGTGCAAGTAATGATGACAATATCTGGCAGACCGTTCGCTAATGACTGGAACATATCAGGTCTAAATGAGAAAATGGTGGTATTTCCATCCTGGGGTTGGGAAACTAGATTCCGTGGAACTTGTGCGTTAGGAACAGGCGTGACAAAAGAAAGTATTTCTAAAAAATTTACTTTTAGATTAATTGCAAGCATTATATGACCGTCGCTCAGAACCTAAACCTCTTAAAACGTACTGTTGAAATTGCTAATTAGTGTTGGATAGGCGTTTGGAGTCGTAGTATGAAGACCACTGACGTTCACACTCATTGTGCTTGACGAAGTGACCTCTGTAACTGTTTGAGCAATTGATGTGTCTGGTGAGGATTCCACTGTGGCTGTCATTAATTCCGTATACGGTGTAGTATTTGTTGAATAAAGTGCAGTGGTAGTTTCTACTTCTAAAAATTTGACTCTTCAACTATTTCCTACCAGAAACTTTCGTAATTCAATGTTTCACAATGACGATCTAGTCGACTTGCCCTTTGATGTAGAAACTGAGAGGGCATTGATCTTCTTGAGCACTTTGGGTATCAGCGATTCAACAGATAGTGGTTTGGGAGCTGTAGTCGTTGACGGTCTTATCTTTTTCGGCTTTCGAGGAGCTAAATAAAACCGGTCATACAAAAAACTTAAGAGATAATAACTTATAAAAGCTTGGATATGTGATTAGTCGCTGTACAACCAGTTTTTAAAAGGTGCATTGATAGTTCACGTGTGCTTGGCAAACTGTTCACTAAAATAGCAATTTTCTTTTGCCCTTCCTGATCTCATTAAGCTCATTATCCCTATTATGCTTAACCAATTAGTCTTGACCTGAGAATCTTCTCGAGCAGACTATTAAATTTTTCTTAAAACTGCATTAATTCTCAAGTTTCAACAATGTACTAGAAGGTTAAAAATTTCTGTTAGTAAGTTGTGCCTATAAAGTGTATTATAAAGTGGCTGGTCGAAAGGTACAGGGAAAACAGTGGTTTTTCAATTCTTTTGCAGGATTTTGTTACTGATAAAAGCTAAACAAAATTTATTTCTGAAAGTCTTGCTGATTGCATGAAAATGTGTGATTAGCAACTTAGAATTAAACTGACGATCAATGCAAACTGCCAAACACTCCTGTTTTGACGTGAATCTGTTCCCGTTTCCACCTCTGCCGGTATAAATAAATTCGACACATGCTTTCTGCTTTGCATCGTAGTAATAGCGTTGAATTTCGAACGGCCCTGATCCTTTTGACAGAGGATATAAGCATGATGAAATCTCGTGCTTACCTAAATAAATACTAATCTGAAAAGCTTTTTCAAATAAATTGTTGTAAAAAAAGTGGTTCTTTGCAGAGCATTCGCCTAAAATGACAGTTTTAAAACAGAAACAGAAATTAGAAATCTCTAGCGAATTGCTGAAAAATATTCTTTTTAAACATGAGATTTCGAACCAGATCCACAGGCATCCATACAGGCATGGTCTGTTTCAAAATTGTTGGTATTTCCACCTTCACCCAAGTAGTTGAACTGAACACAATGTGCGGCAGCAACGTCGTAATACCACCTAGAAAATTGCAGGTGACTGTGAAATGGGACCACAGACAAGGAAAAGTAAAATGTTAATCTTATATTTGTTGTCTAAGCTATAATCTAAGAAACCTAAGCGACGATTTGGCATCTTTGACTGAATGGCCTTTGTCTGGTGAAAATTCACAGGGGTTTTTGTCGTCTTCGGTTGGATACGGTGTTGTCGTTACCGTTGCTGTTTTTACAGGCTGTGTGTGCTTAGCTGTGGGCGTCGGGGTTGTTTCTGAAACATGCATTCTTTCTGTGAAAGCGTGTAACCGTCGAAAATGGGTAGCAATGGGTAAGAATTAGATTCAGAGAAAGATGGTCATATTCAGTCAAAAAGTTGCTGCTCTAATAAATTTATAGTTAAATTTATTTTTTTACCAGCTGAAAATTTATCGAGGCGGATCATATTCTGCGTATAACCTGCAGCAGACGGATTTGGCGCTATAGTGTCAACTTGAACATGGATAGTTGGGATTTCGGTTGAACCTGGAGCACCTATAAAGTTAAATAATTCTGAAAAAACTAAACCTTGCAGTTTTATTACCGCTGTTGTTTGAATCTTAAAGTTTAAAGTTACTTTACTTAATTTAACCATTATTTGCAAACACACATTGGAGACAAATTTTTGAGCGCTGAAAAGACAACTGTGATGAAACCCTTCCCTCTTAAAAACCAAAAATTTACCAGAACAGGCCTTTTCACACTCTGATATTGTCAAAAAGTTGTTTTCGTTGCCGCCATATCCAGTATAGATCAGTTCCCTACAAATTGATGATCTCCAGTCAAACCAGTAACGTTTCATCTTTCCGGAGCCGTAACCGTTGGCTGGCGGAAGACGGCACAGGTCTGATACTGCAAGATTATTTCAGTTACTGAACAGTGTTTGTTTACTGAATGCTTTGGAACTGTAATTTGGTGTTTAGTTTATCGATCCACCAGTTGCTTTGTTTAATCATAGTGGTTTTCATATTGTTGGAAATGTATCCGGTAGCCTACTGGTGATTCTGTTGTTCCGTAATTTCCTTTCCTTTTTGTTTTGATTAACTTTAAATTATAGACTGCCAGAAATGTTGTACAAAAACATCTAAACTGTTCTGGAAAGAAATAGTTAAAAAGAAAAGCAATTTAATTTTAATAAATTTCAATGTAATTTTGTTTTCGAAACATGAATTGATTTATGCGCTGAAAACGGAAAAAATCTTATCATTATTTGTTCAATTTTTTTCATGCACCTACTTCTTTATAACTTTTCAGGAAAGTTCAGTTTTTAAACGGTTTTTAACATGTAGTATTTCAAAAAACTTTTTTTTGGACGAAAGAAACAGTTTTATTTATCATGGTTTCAAATTTGTTAATTGTTTGTTTTGTTTACTGGTAAAAAAAACTAGCATTAAATACAAAAACGGGATTGGTGAGAGAGAAAAAAAACAGAAAAAGAGAAAAGAAAGAACATTTTCTGAATTTTAATTTTAACTGACATATGACTATTTATCAGTGTTTTGAAAAGACAAATTTGGCGTCTACTGAACAAAATCAACAAAACAGCTAATCTAAGTTTGATCCAATTGACTATAGCCGCTACAAATACTTCAATTAATCGTCCAGCGTCTTTAATTCTCTTTGGAACAGCAATGTTTCATTTTCCAATCTCTTTTTTTCATGCTTCTAATGTTTACAGTCCTTAACCGTCGGTGTTTCACTATACCAGTATTCATTATTGCAGGATAGTATCAAAAACAACAATATATGAGTGCAGTCAACACACCGATATATCAAACAAATTTAAATGAAAAAGACAGACAAACTGTTCATTGTAACAAAGTTATTTAGAGTCTGACATTATGATCAAAGAAAAATCAAGTATTTCGGCTATTAATCACATTGTCTACAAATTTTACTCCTCGCATATAATCTTCGAAACAAAAAATTATTGTAAGCATCTTTTTTTTTTAAATGCATATACAAAAAGCTGACAGTAATACAACAACAAATTTAATAACTATAGGATTTTGATAACCAGTCTTCTCGTTTTATCCTCCCCTCTCCCTTTTCCAGCTTTCTAGTTCTTCATTGTTTATTATACTGTAGCAACTTTTATTTAGCGTTAAAAAGTTAAAAACGAAGAAGCAGCTTACAGTGACGGTCAAAATAAAAATGCAAACCTGATTTGCTTTTCGGGCAACAATAATTTGTGGCGTTTGAGGAACCAATATGACACCAAAAGTTGCTTGGACAGTTATATTCCTTATTCTGTGAATATGGTAAACACATTTTTGGTCGGTCATTCTCTTGCAGTAATGGTATTCCATCGCCACATAGCAGTGCATAATCTGAAAAGAAAAAATTTATTCAACCTTTTAACTTTTAATCATACTGATAGTTAACCTGAGCTATTTTTCTTTTTTTAGTTTCCCTCTTTCCTCTTATAACATCTACTAAAATTGTTACTGATATTTACTTAGCGCTCAAATAGTGCCATCTAGAACTGTTCCCGGTTGTTGTCCCAAAAACAGAAATTGTCGACAAGAAATCAATGATTATTAATCGTAGAGAAAAATCAAAAAATTTAATAAAAAGCATGTGAATGCAACCTAATCCATTGACATAATCGTCGTTTTGTGTTTCATCTGAATTCAATGATACTGTTGAATTCTCTGCCAAACATCGTTGCAAAGCAAGAAGATAAGACAAAATAAAACAGAGTTTAAGTTGCGCTCTGTGACTGAGCGTCATTACACTCAAATTTCGTTAGTTGACCAAAAACGGTCTTCGGCTTTTTTTTTTTTTTTTGGGGGGGGGGGGGGGGGGGGGTTG